CCCCCCCCCAAAAATAAGCCCCCCCCCAAAAATAAGCCCCCCCCGAAAATATTGCAACGCAGCAGCAGCCATGAGGTGACCATGCTTGCCACCCCCTTCACCTCAAAAATAAGACAGCGTCTTATTTCTTTTGACACACACCCCCCAAAAAATTAAGCACTTGATCTTATTTTTGGGGAGGTCTTATTTTTGAGGTGAAGGGGACAGCGAGCGTGGTCACCTCATGGCTGCTGCTGCGTTGCAATATTTTCGGGGAGGGCTTATTTTTGGGGGAGGGCTTATTTTAGCGCATGCTTGGGTATGGTTGCCTGAAAGCTGCTGAGAAGTCAGTTTCAAAGAAACTCCGGCTTTGAACAGCAGCTGCCAACAAAACGTTAGAATAAAACTAGTATTATTACTTTAGTAAAACTGGTTTTACTGAAGTAATATACTGATATGTTTGTACATATAACAATCTGTTTGTAAAAATAAAAGCATACATATATTAAATATATTTTTTAATGCTTGGTTGCTTTTCAGATCTTCTCTTTGGACTTGCCCCATTTTTTGACTCCAGTTCAAATAGTGTGATGAATTAATTCATGGTTTAGTTAAGTAATCTATGGCATAATTAACTGAGACATAGCAAATAGGAATAGCACCATCTTTGATTTGCAAACAAGTATTTGCTGTCTTTCAGGCTTTCTGAATTTTTATGCATCTTTCTCATTGAGTGTTGTTAGAACTTGATGTAATTCTATTAACATATATGTCTAAGTGAATAAATAACACCAATGTTTGATGCATGTTTTACTTGTTTGATAAGCAAAATCTTTCAACATGTAATTTGTCTGTGTGGAAAAAAAATGCTCCTCTAGTTCAGTCAATTCAGTTAAAGTGTAACTGGCAAGATCAGTTTTATGAATACTTAATTAAAGAATCATGGGTGGTTTTAACAGTGATGTTCTCAGCAGTGCATAATTCTCAGCTGAATAGAAACATTCAAAGATCAATGTTAAAAACAATCAATCTCCATCCTCATTGGAAAAGACTAAAAAGCTCTGGAGTCCCACAGTTCAACAGTGATATACGTATATGCTTGAAATAAGGGACAAAATTTACTTTTCAAGAGTGGCCATACGAAAACCACCTCTAGAAATCTGTAAGCTTCTCTGGTTTTACCTAAAATCAATGTCCATGAATCCACCATCAGAAAAGCATTGGCTAAAAATGGGAATCCCAGAAAAGTAGCAATGTGTAAGCCATTGGTCTCTAAGGAGTCCCAGGTTTGCTCAAAAGCAAAGAGAGACATAGCTATGGTTAGATGGATCGCTAGTGGAACTTTTCAGACCCTGAGGATATTGTGTGTGGCAGAAACTGCTTTTTGCAGTAAGAGCCTCAGAGCAGGTAACATGGGTTGAGCTTTCTGCTTCAATTTGTCATCATTGAAGATAACCTGAATTCTGCTTTGTAACAGGGAATTCTACAAGAGTCTGACTCCATTTGCTCATCTAATTCACAAAATAAGTTGTTGGGGTAACAGAACAGTTATTCCAAAACCAAGTCTATGAAAGAATGAAGAACAAACTCAATGCTTTGAAAGATTAAGGTTGAAGTTCAAATCTAAGTTCCATAGAATATTGTGGCAGTATCTATTTGTTGTCAATATTTTGACCTCTATGTCTCTACTTCAATTTTATGAGGTTTATGTGGGGCTGTAATTATATTTTTTCTTTACAAAGTAAAGACAAAACGTCACATAATTAAGAGTCGTAAGAGGCTAGGTCCTTTATCATGACATATTTTCTGCATAGATACAATAAAGAGCTTGTTTAATTACCCTTCAAAAACATATTTTATTAGGAATTTCTAATTTCCCACATTTAGGTAATTAAATTCCCTGTTTACAAACTCAATTTTCCTCGCTGCAACAGAAAGATGAATGACATCTTAATATATTTTAGGAGTTAATATACTTTAGGATGACATTTCCATAAACACATAGCACCTTTACTTTAATCCAATAAAGGTATTCATGCTAAACTCTCAGTAAAATAGACCTGAAGAACTACCTCCTATATAAATCTATGGATTTTGAATTAGTATTGATGCATTATTGCCATAATGACCTTGCTTGATGTAATTGTTTATTAAGCTGGTGCTACAAAGCACAGTTACAGTATATTATATCTATGGTATCTTTTATATTTCTGAACTGTAAACCTTGCAGATTCTCTGGATGAAAAATTAAAACATAAATATTTGAATTATTATATTTTTCAGGCACTTCTTTCCTGGTAGATGGGCATTCTTATTACTGATGTTTAACATTTTTCTTTCTTAGGTCCAATGTATTTTCTGGTTCTCTCTCATATTAGCTAGTTCTGTTGGTCTATTATAGCAGGTGATTGAAAAAGGATACCCATATCAAATACAGTTCTGAAGGCAAAAGGACTTGGGTGTCTATCGCTGCATCTCTGTTTTTAGTTGAAAACCATGGAATTGCTTTACCAAAATGAGGATGTGATTTAATCCCTCAGAATTGAAAATTCAGGTGTAAAGCTGGGATCTTCTTTTTTTCCCGGCAGATGTAACATACCTGTCCCCTATGGTCTGTACTATTTTCATTGTTTTGATTCCTTTGTGGATTGCTATTGCGCGGCAGAGTCCTCCCGTTGCCGAAGTCTTGAAGACTGGATGGCAGCCAATTATAATTGCAATGATCATCAGCAGGTAATCATCACTGGAGATAGAACTTTGCTCCATTGCTATGTGCTTATTGTGGAAAAATCAGTATAATAATATAATCATCATCATCATCAGTTTTCTTAAAGTCTGGATTTTTGTTGGGGATTGTCTCTTTCTGCATATCTGGAATATGTTAGTGAAATCTTTATTAATAAGCATCTGGATTTGAATCTTTAAGAAGCCAAAAATAGGTGGTTTTTTTTACGGTATTTGAAATAAATAAAAGGAGAATCACTGAGAGTGATTCTTTCAGCAGTTCTTTCTAGCTTGAAATCGGTGTAGTAAAAATGTTCAAGCTTTTAATTTTCCTCTGTTTGTCTAATTATCTAATGTATTATTTAAAAACATCAACTTCATAACATGGCTTTAGCTTCTAGAAAATAATATTGAAGCTTTGAGTGGCGATGTTTCCCCCCAAATAAGTAAAACAGCTGGGTAACTTTGAGCTGGTCACTCACTCTTAACCCAAGACTGGAAAATAAAATTAAAATACAATAAAATAAAATATAAAATAAAATAAAAACCTGTCTATTGATCCATATTGGAACCAATATGGTAAATTATAATCCATGATCTCAGTTATGGGTTTCAATGTATTTTACTAACGATTCACTTGTGCACTCTCGCGACACTTCTCTGCATGCACAGAAGTGTCCAGGTGGGTGGGCGGACCCTCCCGCCGCCGCCACTACCAGTTCACCCGATCCAGAGCAAACTGGCAGAAACCCACCTCTTCATCATCTTTAATAAAGAAGTTTTCATCCTGCAATATTTTCATTTGGGCTTATAATAATAAATAATAATAATTAGAGGGATAGCATTTTCCACTGACAATTGTTGAGAAACCTGAGACTGGGAGATGGTCCTGTGGTCATGTCTTAACTGCCTTTCCACTGGCCTGTGACTGACTGTTCTTGTTGGTTGAAACAGATAGAATTTAGATCTCATCAAATGGATATACTGACATCAAATTCTTTTCATATGCGGATCCTTTTTCTTTTAGTGCTCTCTTTCCTGGCAGCAAGATTAAAATTCTTGCTCTATTAGTAAAAACGTCTTANGTCCCTTTACATAATAAAGACTTCTCCACTTCAGCTGCAGGGGGGTGGGATTAAGGCATGATAATATTGGCCCTGTACTCAACTGACCACATGGCATCTGAGAACTCAACCAAACCTGGATTCAAAACGCAGCCTAAAGAATTGTCCCTGCATGGCCCCATGGGGGTCTGACAACCAATCAGGATACAAGCTCAAGATCAAAGGCCAGAGAGGGGATAAAACCAGGGACTCAGCATCTCAGGCCTTCCTTCTCTTCTTCTCCACCAACATTGAAGCATGTGGTCACCTTTTTTGTTCAGAGCTCAAGCCATGTGGCCCAGTCCACCAGTAAACCATCTTTCCAAGCAGCCTCCATGTCTCCAGTGTCTTTTTCTCCACTTGGAGCCAAACCCAGAAGGACCATTTCTTTCATCAGCACAGAAGCAGCGAAACCAGTTCTGGTTTTCTGAATTAAGCTATCATGGTTTGGGTTGAAAGGCTACTTCCGAAAACCACAAGAAGTTGTTCTTGCTTGGTTGACGTTTCCATCTGCTACGGTAAGACTCCTCTCAGCCTACATATTCATTTCTAATTGACTAGCTTTTTATCTTGACTTTATTGTTTTTATAAGTAACTCAAGGTGGCCAACCTACCTAATACTACTTCCTCCTCACAACAGCAAACCTGTGAGGTGGGTTGGACTGAGAGAGCACGACTGGCCCAAAAGTTCAAAACCTTCAGCAGGTTTTTAAATATACACCTCTTAAAACTTGTTACAGAAAAGGTATTTTGAAAATAAGAGAATCATAGCATCCATAGCCAACCTGTTTGAGACCTCAAAAAACACCCCTCAATTGTGCCTTCTGTGTAAGCAGAACCCCACTCAAATAAATGCTAAATAATTTCATGTAATATCTGGTTCTAGAATGTTATTTTTGGTGCAGGATAGAGTTGGTCTGATGAGGTTTTCTCCCCAATGTTATAATAATCTGAGAAACTATCCACTAGGAAAAAAACATTCTGCAGAGGTCTTGCACAACATTCCACCAGAAGGTAGAATCAAAAAGTCAGAAGAGACATGGATGGCCACTAATCTAATCTTCTGCTCAGCGTAGGATCTGTGATGCAAGTTGCAGCTTAAAACGTTACTGACAGATGGTTTCTTGTCTTTGCTTCAGTTTTTCCAGAGGATCAGAGGCCACCACTTCCCTGAGCAGATGGTGCCACAGTTGAGTAACTTTTAATGTTTGGAAGTTTGTCCCAAAGTTAAGTGTTTCTCCCACTGTTCATCCAGCTCTAGTTAATGGAGTTACTAAAGACAGAAAATTCACATTGACTATAATGTCTGGGGCCTACAATCTCATTTTTGTCTGGGTGTGTGTACCTGGAAAAATGCCAGGTGCACTGATGGCACTAAATAAATAAAATAAGACTTCTAGTCCAACCCCCTGCTCAAATAGTAGATCCTATACTAACCTTTTTGCCATCACATGGCAAAAGCGGGGGGAGAACAGAGGGGATGGCTCATGTGTGCCCTCCCTGCACATGCAACACCCCCATGCAAGTATGTGCGTGCAATTCCCTCCATGTACATATGCATGCACGACCACCACCCCATGTGCGTATGCATGTGCACCCTCCCACTTTCCCCCTGCTTTTGGTGCACGATGGCACAGTGGACCAGTTTTTCACCCTCTCCAGGTTCCAGAGGCTTTCGGGGAGCCTGGGGAGTGTGAAAACAGCCTTCCCCCACCCCAGCCCTCTGGAGACTGGAAACGGCTATTTTCTGACTTCCAGATTGCCCATAGGGAAGCCTCCTGAAGCCTCCGGAGGGAGAAAACTGGCCCAATGCAAAAAGCAGCTGAAAATGAAGGCCGAAATCAGCTGGCACACATGTGTGCTGGAGCTGACAGGGCAATGCCTCAAGTGCCCTAAGAAATGGCTCTGTGTGCCATAGGTTTGCCATCATGGTCCTATACCATTCTGGACCAATGGCTATCCAGTCTCATTTGAAAAGCCTCCAGGGATGGAGCACCCACAACTTCTGGAGGCAAGTTGTTCCACTGGTTAATTGTTCACACTGTCAGGAAATTTCCCCTAAGTTTTAGGTGGGATCTCTCTTTGATAAGCTTCCATCTGTTACTTCTTGATCTATCCTCATGTTATTTAGAGACTAGAAATCACAAACCACTGTTTGCATTCCTTTAATGTAGTATTGTTTGACACATTCCATCTTCCTCGTTAGTTCAGCTTTTATTCTTATAAGCCACCCTGTTGATAGGTTTGGTCTTTCTCAGATCATCTATGACAGGGGTGTCAAACTCACGTCATCACAACAGCATCACATGACATATTAGGACTTTTTCCCCCTTCCCTAAATCGGGTGTGAGTGTGGCCACACGTGATGCATCTGGCCTGCAGGCCACAAGTTTGACAGCCCTAATCTAAGACACGTTGAAGAGGAAATAAACCATTAAGAGACGAATTGATACATCAGTAAAAATCTAAAAATCTAATCAAACAACCCTTGTGGTTCTGAATGACCCTATTTAGACCTTAAGTGATAGTCTTGAAGAGAAGGGAGTTTTAGATGGAATGTTTTATTTAAAATGTACCTAACATGTTCCATCCTTTATCTTCTGTGCCCAAGGAGCAAATCTATTGCATGAGTTGGGTTGTCAAAGACCCTGAAATCAAAACTTGATGATGTGGTGCTTGCACAGAATTACAAATGCCAATAATTAGAAAGATGTTAACATTGCGGGTGAACTGATAGAGAGGGGCAGTAAGTCAATTCATCTTAAAAAAAAAAAATAGAATAGCTTATTATAACCAAAGATTCAATCCTAAGGCATGTGTGGGGCAGGGAGAAATAAAAGGGGAGGAACAGTCACTTCAAGGTGAAGGTGATCTGATCTGTGGGCCTACTGATCACCAGTTGAGTATCAGTTTCTCTGACTCAGTCTCCGACTTCACAAGCTTATCTTCAACTAGACACAAAGACGACCCCCCCCATGCCATCACTCCACTAAACCCCTAATTCCCACAGCACTCTTGTGTCTAAGGATATTTACCCATTTAGTAGGACTGTATTGTTATTATCCTTCTCCACTTTCCTATTATCTTCTCCTATTTGGTATCTTATGATTTATCACTTTGTTGTTTGTATTTTATGATTTATTATTATCCTATGATTTACAATTTATGATTGATCGTTATTTGTATGTACACTGAGAGCTTGTGTGTACACCGAGAGCTTGTGTTTGTACGTATACTGTATGCTTGTATGTATGCTTCTGCAACAGAGACAAATTATTTGTGCATCCAATCACATTTGGCCAATAAAGAATTCTGTTCTGTTGTTCTACTCTACTCTACTCTATTCTAAATTCTATTCTACCCCACCCTACCCTACCTGTTGTGGCCCAGCAGGAGCCGTTGGAACTGTCACCAGACTCCAACAGCGAGGGGCCCTATGAGTGGCCCTGGAGGATGTGGAGGACCTTGGACTGGGTTCCGACTCTGAGCAGGGTGCAGAGAGACTAGTTGGCCACCAGGTGGTGCCTGAGCCTTGGATCAGTGGGGAGGAGACAAGGGAGGGTGATCCAAAAACCAACAGTGAGTTGTTCCGAGATGCACACCATTGAAGAGCTACTCAGCTGTCAAGAACAATTACGTAATTACAGGAGGTAATTACGCTCAGCTGATGGTCATTAGGCTCCTCTCCAGACTATAAAAAAGACTGCTTGTGCCACCCCTTTCTTGCAGAAGTCAATGCTTTGACTAAGGAGAAACTAACTTGGCAGGCTGGATTGCTGCCAAGATTTGTCGGACTTGCTGCCAAGGTCCTTATCTGTTTGTTTACTTGGCTTTCAGCCACCGAGAGTCTGGTCTTGTTGTTAAAGGACATTCTCATTAAGCGTGTCTCGGCTTTTGTTACTGGACAGAGGAGGGGGTCAGAACACCTACCCTACTCTGTATTCTAGCCTAGCCTAGCCATAGAGTTTAATCTGGTTGTTGAGCTAAAACTCACTCACAATCTATCAATTGCACAACATAGTTCAGCTAGCTAAGAATGTTTCCTGCAAATCAAAGCTACGCAGAACAGTTGATTGCCCCCAACAGCATGAGGTTGCAGTTCACTTTTATATCCATGTGAGTTTAAACGCTTTTCTTCTTCCCGCTTTTCCCATCTTCAAAAGTCATCTTTGCTTTATTCTCTCTGGCTTTGAAGAGTAGTTGCTGACATAATTGATGTGCCACCCTGAGAACTTCAGGCTGTCAGAAGGAGGGGTTGCCTCCTTCCTTTGTTGCTCTACCTTCATCCCTTCCAGCTGTGCACAGAGAAGACAATACTCAGCCATGACAGAAACATACCTGTCATTGGGTTACAACATTCCAATTGGATCAGATGTTAGAGAAATTCTGAGTGTGAATAGATGGAAAAGAGCTAAGGGCAACATCTTTCATCCTATTGATCACTGGAGTTAAATCAATTGAGATGGTTGGCTGGTTAGAGTGCTCCTATGCTTCTTCCTCATTCTCCATGAATCTCTACTACATATTGGAAGCAGATAATGAAAATAATTTGGATATTCCAAATCTCTCCTACGTCTCTCCTACAATCTCCAATGCAGCATTGCATTTGTTGGAAAATGCAGAAAAGTCAAACTATTTTATATTCCTATTTTAACAATCTTTCTGAACTTACTGGATTTTTTTTTCTCTTATAGTTACTTCATGCAGATCTCCATAAGTGACAGCAAGCTATGGCAAACCAACTCCTTAAAGTTGCTGAGAAAACGGCTATAGTCTGCTATAGTCACTGCTGTTGTTTCTTTGCCAGAATCCTGACACTATCCTCTGAGTGAACAATTTATCATTTGCAAGTCTCCAATATTGTTTTGTCCAATTATTCATATGGCCAACAGCTGAATTTGATAGAGGTGGTGCTCCACCAATAGAACATAGCATCAAAAAGCTGGAAAGGACCTCAGAGGTCTTCTAGTCCAGTCCCCTGTTCAAGGTAAGAGACCTTATACCAGTGATGGCTAACCTTTATAATGCAATGCGGCCTTCCCCCTGCGCATGCACACATGACCCCAGTGCTCCCCCCGCCCCATGCATGTGTGACCCCCCCTCCACTCCCCCATGAATGTGTGTGACCACTGCCTGTTTTTGGTCCCAGGAGGCTTCAGTGAGGCCCATTTTGGAAAAAAAGTGGGGCGTGCTCCCATGATCCCCCACGGCCACACATATGCATGCAACCCGCCACCCCACGCACATGCATGTGCATCTCCCACATGCGTGCAGACACCCAAAAATCAGTTGGCCATCTGGAAGCACATGCACGGTGGAGCTGAGCTGGGTGACAGCTCACGTGCCCAGAGAGTGGGCTCCGTGTGCCACCTGTGGCATGCATGCCATAGGTTCACCATCGTGGCCTTATACCATCTCAGTCAAATGATTGTCTGGTCTATTTTTGAAAACCTGCTGTGATGAAGCACCCACCACTCCAGGAGGCAAGTTGTTTCATTCATTAATTGTTCTCACTACCAGGAAGTTCCTCTTTATTTCCAGGTTGGATGTCCCTCTGACGAGTTCCCCCCCCCCTCCCACCAATTACTTCTTGATCTGCCTTCAACTGCTTTGGACAATGAGTCTTCTCTGTGACAGCCTCTCAACTACTGGAAGACATTTCTCTGGCACCCTTCATCCTTCTCTACTACCTACTGTAGTTCCCTCAACCCTACATCATATAATTTAGGCTCCAGATCCTTTATCATCTTTGTAGAAGAGCACAGTGGCTCGTATAGTTAAACGCTGGGTTGGAGGTCAGCAAACCTGCATTTGAGACCCAAGTGCTGCTGTGGGGTAGGGTGAGCTCCCATCTTTCACTCAAGCTCATTCGCTGGACACTGCTAATTTTGGTTTCATCCAGGAAGCATGAAATGATGGTTGTCCCTAATTCCCCAAATTGAAACATTTTTCACCAGTCCACATGTCAGAAACTATCCTCTCTGGCCAGGAATATTCAGCAAACACAACTCAGAATGATTTGTATCCTATGGGAAAACATCTGACACATTGCAAGAACAACTTTTTTTCCTCACCTTGGCAATGTGTTCACTTCATTAGTCCACAAAAATAGGGCTGTAAATTCTCAGAGGAGCATGTGTTTTGAAACCAACTTTACACAAAACAGTAGCACCCAGTCTTCCTAGCAGAGAAAATATCTATTTTAGACAAGATAATTATATAAACAGTGCATTTTTATGGAACTGAATAGCTATATTCAAGCTTCATACAATGTCAGATTATGAAAATTGCATCCCAAAAAAAAAACAGCCACAATGAAAAGTTGTAAAACTCAAGCCAAATTATGCACTTTGGCACCATGGAGCCAAGGTGGTGCAGTGGTTAAATGCAGCACTGCAGGCTACTTCAGCTGACTGCAGTTCTGCAGTTCGGCGGTTCAAATCTCAC